CTGTCAGACCGTCGGGCTTCCTCCGGCCACCTCTGGCTTCCTGCGGTGTACCGGGCCATTCTCGACTCGTCTGGCAATGCGTGCGCGGCATTCAACACGCGCTCGCAGTTCCCGTCGGCAACCGCCATCGCGGCCGCATCAGCTGTACCAAACCGGCTGGCCGGTGTGACTTCGGCCCCCAGTTGTGCCAGTTTTGCTTCTTATGTTGTGGGAGGGCGGGTGGGACTGGGCATGCCATGCTTGACTCGCTCGAGCTGGCTAGCTTGACTCCTACTCCTACTCCTACTCCTATCCTTATTCCTTATTAGAATATACTCCTACTCCCCCCTCAGGCCGGCCATTAGGGGCCGCATCCGGGTGGTCCCATCCTAACCTGTAAAAAACAATACAAAATCAACATTTTTCTTATTTTTTTCCTCTCGACATGGACGTCCTGTCGTCCACGGCGATAATCCATTGGAAAAAATACCACAAAGAGCACACGCGCGCGTTCATGTCAGAATCCTACCGAACACCGTGTGTTTGCAAACATTTCAACATAAAAACATCAAAAACCCAATGTTTTTTTTCACAAAAAATTGTACAAATTTCCCGCCCGGGCTCTCTTGCTGAAATCATAGGAAAACCATAGGAATCTTAAGATTTCTGTCAAATCCAGCGATTTCACGTCATCGCGCGGTGCACTCGCGATGCTCTGTCATGCACCCAGGCCGCGAATCCTGTGCAACAAATACAACAAAGAGCGCACTCGCGCGTTCATGTCAGAATCCTACCGAACACCGTGTGTTTGCAAGCATTTCAACATAAAAACATCAAAAACCCAATGCTTTTTCACAAAAATGCTTTGGGGTGTCCTGTCAGACCGTCGGGCTTCCTCCGGCCACCTCTGGCTTCCTGCGGTGTACCGGGCCATTCTCGACTCGTCTGGCAATGCGTGCGCGGCATTCAACACGCGCTCGCCAGTTCCCGTCGGCAACCGCCATCGCGGCCGCATCAGCTGTACCAAACCGGCTGGCCGGTGTGACTTCGGCCCCCAGTTGTGCCAGCTTTGCTTCTTATGTTGTGGGAGGGCGGGTGGGACTGGCATGCCATGCTTGACTCGCTCGAGCTGGCTAGCTTGACTCCTACTCCTACTCCTACTCCTACTCCTACTCCTACCTATCCTTATTCCTTATTAGAATATACTCCTACTCCCCCCTCAGGCCGGCAGATAGGGGCCGCATCCGGGTGGTCCCATCCTAACCTGTAAAAAACAATACAAAATCAACATTTTTCTTATTTTTTCCTCTCGACATGGACGTCCTGTCGTCCACGGCGATAATCCATTGCAAAAAATACCACAAAGAGCACACGCGCGCGTTGATGTCATAATCCTACCGAACACCGTGTGTTTGCAAGCATTTCATCATAAAAACATCAAAAACCAAATGCTTTTTTCCTCCCACAAAATTGTACAAATTTCCCGCCCGGGCTCTCTTGCTGAAATCATAGGAAAACCATAGGAATCTTAAGAATTCGGTCAAATCCAGCGATTTCACGTCATCGCGCGGTGCACTCGCGATGCTCTGTCATGCACCCAGGCCGCGAATCCTGTGCAAAAAATACCACAAAGAGCACACTCGCGCGTTCATGTCAGAATCCTACCGAACACCGTGTGTTTGCAAGCATTTCGACATAAAAACATCAAAAACCCAATGCTTTTTCACAAAAATGCTTTGGGGTGTCCTGTCAGACCGTCGGGCTTCCTCCGGCCACCTCTGGCTTCCTGCGGTGTACCGGGCCATTCTCGACTCGTCTGGCAATGCGTGCGCGGCATTCAACACGCGCTCGCCAGTTCCCGTCGGCAACCGCCATCGCGGCCGCATCAGCTGTACCAAACCGGCTGGCCGGTGTGACTTCGGCCCCCAGTTGTGCCAGCTTTGCTTCTTATGTTGTGGGAGGGCGGGTGGGACTGGGCATGCCATGCTTGACTCGCTCGAGCTGGCTAGCTTGACTCCTACTCCTATCCTTATTCCTTATTAGAATATACTCCTACTCCCCCCTCAGGCCGGCCATTAGGGGCCGCATCCGGGTGGTCCCATCCTAACCTGTAAAAAACAATACAAAATCAACATTTTTCTTATTTTTTCCTCTCGACATGGACGTCCTGTCGTCCACGGCGATAATCCATTGCAAAAAATACCACAAAGAGCACACGCGCGCGTTCATGTCAGAATCCTACCGAACACCGTGTGTTTGCAAGCATTTCAACATAAAAACATCAAAAACCCAATGCTTTTTCACAAAAATTGTACAAATTTCCTGCCCGGGCTCTCTTGCTGAAATCATAGGAAAACCATAGGAATCTTAAGAATTCTGTCAAATCCAGCGATTTCACGTCATCGCGCGGTGCACTCGCGATGCTCTGTCATGCACCCAGGCCGCGAATCCTGTGCAAAAAATACCACGCGGGCGACATGCGCGCGCGTCGCCGCGAGCGCATGCTCAAATCCTTCTAGAGTCGTCGCCGTCATTGGCACCGTCGCATGGACGTCCTGTCGTCCACGTCGCAAAATGCATGGCAGGAATGGGACGCGGCGCACACCCCGCGCCCGCCCATCCAATCCGTCCCATTCTAATCTGCAAAAGACAATACACAGTTTTGTTTTTCTTGTCAACATGGTCGTGCTGTCGTCACGTCGCAAAATGCGTGGCAGGAATGGGACGCGGCGCACACCCCGCGCGAAGGGGTGACATGTCGCTCTCGCCTCGGCGCCGCGCACCAACGTTTTTCCTCTCAGCATGGACGTCCTGTCGTCCACGTCGCAAAATGCTTGGCAGGAATGGGATGCGGCGCACACCCCGCGCCCGCCCATCCAAACCCCCCCGTTATAAAAAAAACAATACAAGTTGGGGCCTTCTGGCTTCCTGCGGTGTACCGGGCCATTCTCGACTCGTCTGGCAATGCGTGCGCGGCATTCAACACGCGCTCGCCAGTTCCCGTCGGCAACCGCCATCGCGGCCGCATCAGCTGTACCAAACCGGCTGGCCGGTGTGACTTCGGCCCCCAGTTGTGCCAGCTTTGCTTCTTATGTTGTGGGAGGGCGGGTGGGACTGGGCATGCCATGCTTGACTCGCTCGAGTTGGTTAGCTTGACTCCTACTCCTACTCCTACTCCTACTCCTACTACTACTCCTCCTACTATTACTACTACTACTATTACTACTACTACTACTACTACTACTACTACTACTACTACTACTACTACTACTACTACTACTACTACTCCTATCCTTATTCCTTATTAGAATATACTCCTACTCCCCCCTCAGGCCGGCAGATAGGGGCCGCATCCGGGTGGTCCCATCCTAACCTGTAAAAAACAATACAAAATCAACATTTTTCTTATTTTTTCCTCTCGACATGGACGTCCTGTCGTCCACGGCGATAATCCATTGCAAAAAATACCACAAAGAGCACACGCGCGCGTTCATGTCAGAATCCTACCGAACACCGTGTGTTTGCAAGCATTTCAACATAAAAACATCAAAAACCCAATGCTTTTTTCACAAAAATTCTACACATTTCCTGCCCGGGCTCTCTTGCTGAAATCATAGGAAAACCATAGGAATCTTAAGAATTCTGTCAAATCCAGCGATTTCACGTCATCGCGCGGTGCACTCGCGATGCTCTGTCATGCACCCAGGCCGCGAATCCTGTGCAAAAAATACCACGCGGGCGACATGCGCGCGCGTCGCCGCGAGCGCATGCTCAAATCCTTCTAGAGTCGTCGCCGTCATTGGCACCGTCGCATGGACGTCCTGTCGTCCACGTCGCAAAATGCATGGCAGGAATGGGACCCGGCTTACCGGGCCGTTCTCGACACGGCCACCTCTGGCTTCCTGCGGTGTACCGGGCCATTCTCGACTCGTCTGGCAATGCGTGCGCGGCATTCAACACGCGCTCGCCAGTTCCCGTCGGCAACTGCCATCGCGGCCGCATCAGCTGTACCAAACCGGCTGGCCGGTGTGACTTCGGCCCCCAGATGTGCCAGCTTTGCTTCTTATGTTGTGGGAGGGCGGGTGGGACTGGGCATGCCATGCTTGACTCGCTCGAGCTGGCTAGCTTGACTCCTACTCCTACTCCTACTCCTACTACGTCCTACTCCTACTCCTCCTACTAGTCCTACTACTACTACTACTACTACTACTACTACTACTACTACTACTACTACTACTACTACTACTACTACTACTACTACTACTACTACTACTACTACTACTACTACTACTACTCTACTACTACTACTCCTACTACTACTACTACTACTACTACTACTACTACTACTACTACTACTACTGCTACTACTACTACTACTACTACTACTACTACTACTACTACTACTACTACTACTGTCACGGGTGCACCAACGACAGGTGCAGAGCTGTCAATCGCATTGCTTGGCGTGCCTTCTTTTTCGCTTGCGCAGGCACCGCGCGTGTCCGAGCATCCGATGCAGCAGATACATGACAAGGACCGTGAACATGTTACCGGTTATTACAACATCGTGATGCTTCCCAGTGCGCCATATGCGATGCCACACCCCCTGCTGTACAGGAAGGCGCCGAATGTGCCTAACCCGAGAAGGCTGCACAAGTAACTCAAGCAACGCTTTGCCGTCAGCGCATACTTCAACCGATGGGCGCGCAGTCATACGGCCCATCAGCGAGGATAATTAGTGCAGCGTGCAGAAATACTCGCCGATGCTGGCGATTCCAATCAAGACCTACGTGCTCCTTACTACGACGATATGATCAGGGGGATCTGGGCACCAAGAGGGGAGGACTCGGAGCGGGCCGACTTCGACATCCGGAGACCTGGACCCAGAACCGCCCAAATCTGGCCCCTGGAACCCTCCCAGGGTCCTCCTTGGCAACTTGTTCGAGCCGCGTCCCACCGTGGCCGGGATCCCCCCCCCCCCCCCGACAGGCCTACAAAAAGCAGGGCGGACTCTCTGGAGCCTCGCCTGCCTCGAGGCTCCCGCTCCTGTCCCTTGCGGGCACTGCACGGGGAAGCTGCGGCAAAACACGCCGCCGTGCCGCCGCGACGCCGGCCTCCCGGCACGAGGGAGGCGCGGATGCCCCAGCGGCAACGGGCCCCGGGCGCCCTGGGGCCTCTTCTCGGGCCGAGCGAAAGGGAGGGGGAAGGGGAAGAGGGGAGGGTTGCGAAATCTGCTGCGTGCAGCTGGTTTCGGCCCCACCGCCGGGCCCATTCCTCGACACGTGGGCGCCTCCCGGCGCCGGGAGGCGCTGGGAAAATCAGCTATACGTGAGCTGCTTCTGCCCCCCCCCCCTTTGCTGTCTCCCCCCCTTTGCTGCCCCCCCCTTTGCTGCCCCCCCCTTTGCTGCCACGTGAGCTGCTTCTCAGCCCCCCCCCTTTGCTGTCCCCCCCCTTTCGCCCGGCCCCGATCCTCTGGCACGGGCCCCCCCGCCCCGCCGAGCGGAGAGGGAGCCGGCGGGCGCCCGACGAGAGCGACGAGGCACCTCGGCCCCGTTCCCGCGGGGCCCCTCGCGGCTTCTCGCGGCGGGGGAGGGGGCCGCGGGAGGCACGGGGCGGGGGAGGGAGAGGCATCCGACGGGCGGGTCCTCGAGCCTCGATCCTCGAAGAGCTCCCTCCCCCCCTCGATCCTCGAAGCTCCCCTCTCCTCGAGCCTCCTTGTCCTCGACTAGAGGCCTCCTAGATGGGGTCGGAATAGATGTGGTCGGAGGATCGCGCCGCATCGGCGATTCATCGTCGAGGATACATCGGCGATTCATGGCGATACAGCGGTGATACATCGGCGATTCATCGGCGATGCACTGGCGATGCATCGTCGACGTGGGCGATGCATCGGCGACGTCGACGTGAAGCGAATCGGGCTCCGCATCGAGCCTCGTCGGCGATGCATCGGCGATGCGGCGCGATCCTCCGACCTCATCTTTTTCGACGCCATCTAGGAGGCCCAGAAGAGAGCGGCCAAGGACGCGTTCAAAGAAGAAGAATGGGCCATGAAATCCGGAGAGGTATCATGGCCCTGGCCGTGATATCCACCCACCCCCAGTCTTAGGTCGGGCATGTCCCCCTGCAGGCGGATTTTGGAGGGTAAATGAAACATACCCCCTATTTTTGAATATTCCTTCTGTAGAGGGACATGCCCGACGTAACCCCAGTCACCATCCCCATCTTGTCCGCCCCCGACTTCCTCGTGCCTCCGAGAGTCGTCCCGGGGGCCCCCGGAGGCGTCTCCAGAGGCCTCCGGGTGAGCTCCACAAGGAGCCCTCGGCCATCCCACCAAGAGACGTCTACCAAAAAAACACCAACCAAAATAGAAGAGGAGACAACGCCATAAACATAAACTTTTGGCGCTCCGCGCTGATTTCTTGGATCTGCGCTGGATCCCCCTCCCGAAGCGCGCCAGGGGCGGCGCTGGAGGCGCCGCTGGGGGGGCCCAGCGTAGATCCAAGAAGTCCGCGCGGAGCGCCAACAGTTTATGTTTATGGCGTTTTTTTTCTTTTTCGAGTCCACCAACAGACCATCCAGCAGAAGACCTCCACCGAAAGAGTCCATCGAGTCCACCAAAAGGCCATCCACCAGCAGACCGCCTCCTCCTCCTCTTCCTCCTCCTCCTCCTCCTCCTCCTCCTCTTGCTCCTCACCGAAAGAGCCCTCCACCATCCCGCCAGAAGAAGCTCCAGAGAGAGCCCTCGACCATACCGCCAAGAAGGGAGGCGCACGGGCCTCGGAGCTGCCCGCGGCGGCCGCGGCGCCCTGGCCGGGCGCCTCGGGCGCGGCCTGCGGCGTGGTACCCACCGCCTCTCGGCGGGGGCGGTCGTCGTCGTCGTCGTCGTCGTCGTCGTCGTCGTCGTCGTCGTCGTCGTCGTCGTCGTCGTCGTCGTCGTCGTGGTCGTCGTCGCCGTCGTCGTCGTCGTCGTCGTCGTCGTCGTCGGCAGCGGCGGCGGCGGCGGCGGGGGCGGGGGCGTCGTCGTCGTCGTCGTCGGCGGCGGCGGCGTCGTCGGCGGCATCGTCGTCGTCGTCGTCGTCGTCGCTGCTGTCGTCATCGTCGGTCGGTCGGTCGGTCGAGAAAGCAAGAAAGAGGATGAGGAGAGGGAGGAAGAAGGAGGAGGAGGAGGAGGAGGAGGAGGAGGAGGAGGAGGAGGAGGAAGGAGGGGGAGGAGGAGGGGGTGGAGGAGGAGGAGGATTTTTTTTTGACATTCACGCTTCGCCCCCACAAGCCTGTCTTTGCAGGCACCATCACTGGCAACGGAGGGAGGTGCCAGAGACGCCGCATAGCTACAAGACACCACGAAGACCAGCACGACGATGCCTGACGCTAGAGCGGACCTATATACAGTGGGAGGCCGCTACCCTCCCCCACCGTGGCCGTTGATGATCGCGCCCGCCCGCGCCCGCAAGGCCCGCCTCCGCTCGTCGCCCACCGCGTCGAACACGAGGGTACCAGCTGACGCGGCACCGCTGGCCGCAGCCGGCCGAGGGCCGCACGCCACGGCAGCGGCCACCGAGCCTCCAGCACCCGGAGCCAGCGTCGCCGCCGCCGCCACCACTGCCACGGGAGGGGCGCCCGCCTCCGCAGACTGCTGCGCCAGAGCGCGCCCGTCGGCTCCAGCAGCCGCATCCTCTACCACACGAGCAGGCGAAGCCACCGCCGACGCCGCCAGGCCACCGCCTGCTCTGCGAAGGCCGTCCGCCCACTCGTCGTCGATGTCGTCGTCAACCGCCATCGCCGCGGGCTCCAGAGCGCCCACAGCGCCAACGACCTCTCCAGCTCCATCGGCTCGATCTTGCTGCCTGCGCGCTGCACGCGCACGGCGGCGACGCTGCCGCCGCGCCCGCTTCGCCGCACCAGCCACGGGAGGGCCTTCAGCAGGAAGATCTTGATCTCTCGGTGCACCGACTGGAGGGTCACGGGCGGCGGGCGGCGCAAGCGGCTCGAAGAGAGCCGCCGACACCGCGGAGCGCGCCACCGCCGCGACCGTCCTCCTCGGCGCCTTCGCGGAGACCGCCCCGCGCACCGCCGCCTCGACCAGGGCAGCGGCCAGCGCGGGGGCGGAAGCCCTTCTCGCTCGACGCGCGGCGGCCATCGCGGGAGCAACGGCGGGCCTTCGCACCAAGCACGCGAACGCTTGAGCCAAAATGAGGAGGAGGAGGAGGAGGAGGAGGAGGAGGAGGAAGAGGAGGAAGAGGAGGAGGAGGAGGACGACCCGAAATCCATAAGTGCATGCAACAACTTCAGCATCTGACGCAACATTGTCTCTGAGGCGTACGGTGCCTCCCCAGAAGTGTCGGCCAAGCGTATGGCAGGAGGAGGGAGCAGGAGGGTGAGGGAAGAGGAGGAGGAGGAGGAGGTGGAGAGGAGGGGAGAAGGAGGGAGGCAACGGCCGATGCGGAGCTGGAGGAGGGCGGAGGAGGGGACCGAGGGGAGGGCATACGAAAATCGCTCCTGGAGCAGTCAAGGTGGTCCCCCCAGCGGCTCAGAAGGGGCGCTGGGACAGGGGGGGCTCTGGAGAGGCTCCAGTGGCGCAGTGTTCACGGCCTCTCGTCGGGGGCGGTCGTCATCGCCGTCGCCGCCACCCCCGTGGTCGCCGTCGTCTGGGCGGTCGTCGTCGTCGTCGTCGTCGTCGTCGTCCTCGTCGTCGCCGCCGAGGGATGGTGCGTATGAGGAAGGAAGAAGAAGATAGGTGGGTCCAGCGCGAATCCAAGAAATCCGCGCGAAGCGCCAACAGTTTGTGTTTATGTGTTATTTCTTCTTCGAGAGGGATGGTGCGTGGGATGAGGGAGGAGGAGGCGGAGCGACTGTACTGAGGCGAATCTGGGGTCCCGACTGGTGAGGTCTGATGTCGGACCACACAGGCGGCGATCGCTGGCGCCTTTTCTTGCCCCTCCTCCTCCTCCTCCTCCTCGTCCTCCTTTTTTGTCTCTCTCTCTCTCTCTCTCTCTCTGGTCTCGGCTCAAGGGATCCTCGTGCCCCCAGGAGCCAAGGTGCCCACCCCCCGAAGGTCGTCTTCGCTCCTCCCGGCGAGGCTGCACTCCCTGCGGCGCAGGGATGCCGAGCCACGCCTTCCACCCGGACCTTTTTATGCGAGGCGGGGATTTATCCATATCCACCGCCTGGGAACCGACGTCCTGGTGCCCCAGCGGGCGGTGGATCTGGATGAATTTCGGCCCCCAGGGGCCCGAATATGTCCATATCCACCGCCTGCCGAGGCTCCGAAAACTGACCCTCCAGGCGGTGGATATGGATACATTCCCGCCTCGGGTTCTGCTCGCCGCGGCCGCCGTGGGCGAGGGCTGCCGCGCCAGGACTGCGCCTTCCCCCCTCGCCGCGCCGCCGCGGGGCCCGCACGCCGGGCCGCACCGCGCGCCGCCCGCCCGCGCGTGCACCCAGGGACTACAGTCGGGCCCTTGCCCTAAGGAGCCCCAAATGAGGAACGAGGCCCCTGCTATCCACCAGTTGAACCTCGACTTCCCACCGAAAACCAAAGGAAAGCCCGAGGCAAACTGTGAAGCCGTCAAGGAACACGGAGCCCCTCCCCAACGATAAAGGGTTCCTTCCTCAGGGCCCCGACTGTGCCCTCGCCGTCCGCGTCGGCACGGACCCCTCCGTGCGAGCGCGGCTCTTCGACGGCGCTGCTCCTCGACGCCCCGCGGCTGCACGCAGGAGCGACCCCTGGGTGAGAGCGACCTCTGGTGCGCGGCCTTTTGGGCCGCGGGGGGACCAAGCACAAGCGCGCAAGACGCTACCACCGCATCGCGTTCGCGACTGGGGGACCCCATTTGGCCCGCACTCAAGGTCACTCCGGCGAGAGGTCACTCTTTCGTCTAGTCGAACCCCTTCCGTGCTACGCTACGAGCCCTGCATAGTCCTGCGCGACGTCCGAGTGGACGTGCGCCTTGACCGATCCCTTGCCGCCCCGCGCCAAGGAGGATCACGCAAAGCCGTCCGCCGGGACGTCCTTCTGCACGGGCTTCGAACTGACGTTCAAACTCTCCGTGTGCACACCCACGAGCTCCTGCAGGAAGTCCGCACGACCCCGTCGCTACCCGCACCGCAGCCACTCGAGCAGCCAACACCCAGCTGTCCCAGAGTAGAGCTCTGACGAATCCTTCCTCACCCACCCTCGGGATGGACGAGGATGACGACAGCGAAGGTGGTAGGGGCCCTCACGGGGGCAAGCGCCGAACACCGACATACTCCGTGCACCCTTGCGGCCCCACGCCTCACACCGGGCCTATCGACTACGGCCCCTTTCTTGTTGAAGAACCACGAGGCTCCAATGGTGCTGCCACGACTCTGCTGCTGCTAGCTGTAGGCGCGCCCTCCCCTACGAAGAGGGACGCTGACAAGAGGAACGACCTGTGACGACTCTTGCCCGGGCGAGCGGCCGGGGAGGCGGAGGAAGGAGACGGAGCTCAGAACCGTGGGTACAAGGTTACGCTTGTCGGTGCGCACGAGGGGGTGGAGGGAGGGGGGATGACTTCTTAGAAGGAGGCTGCTTCTTAGAAGGCGCTGGCCTTACATCTATAGATAAGGCCCGCGCCTTCTAAGGAGCAGGGGTGCTTCTAAGAAGCCCTCCCCCTCCCCCCACCCCTCTCTGCGCGTGGCTGATACGTTCTGCATCGCCGCCTCGTGCTTCTTCGTGCTTCTTTGCCCCGAGCGCAGCACGGCTGCCTGCGTCGACCCCTGGGCCGGCCACCGCGGAGGCCGTCCGGCTGCCCGGCCCACGCCGGCCACGGGCACGCGGAGGCTGCTCGATCCTCCCCCGCCCTCTACCGTCAACGCTGACAATAAGGCTGCGCGGTAAGGATGTGTGAGCCCCTTGGACGCCTATGCCGAAGCTCTTCAAGCGGGGCTGGCCACCGAGAGTGGAGAAGGACGTACAGAGGAGGCTCGGATACTAGAGTTAGGTCGGGCATGTCCCCCTACAAGCGGATGTTGGACGATTTGTGTGTATATATATAGATATATAGATATATGTATATATCTATATGTATAAAGCTGAACATACACAACAAATACTTACGAATAGTAGAGAAATCGTCCCCAGACTATTTTCTGACTATTTTTGAATATTCACCCTGTAGAGGGACAAGCCCGACATAAACGGAGCAACCTGCCGCCCCCTGACCTCCGCGGCCCTTTGTGACTGGCACTCCTCACCGCTGCGGCCGTGACGGCC